GTGTTGCGCAGCTTCTGGGCGGCAACGACACAGTAGATGCGGTAGCCGAGGTAGAGCAGGTACATGACCGTGTGAGGATGGTCAGGACGGGCACAAACTTGAAGACGTAACGCTTCCAGCCCTTCCAAATGTCGACATCGTCACGATCGTGCAGGCGAGCGATCGAGTTGGACTTGTTGACCCATTCTGCGTCAATGACGGGAGCAGGGCCATTGGGGAGCAGGGCAGCCAAACTGAGTTGACTCTGCTGCTGTGAGAGGGAGAGGAAGCCCAGGTCAGCAAGGAAGCTCCGAAAAAATAGTGGACAATGCAGGATGAGAATATATTTACCATGGGCGTCGTGGGCCCCGAGTCACTGGAGTAGACATTTTTAGGGGGAGGGCGAAGGTCATATGGCGTTCCGTAGGCGCTGTTCAGGGACGGCGTCTCAGGGCGAGAGTGAACGGGTGATTCTCCAAAGGACTGGGCGCTGTAGCGGCCGGTACCTGCGGGTTCCCATACTGAGTAGTATTCATCCGGGTTTGCTTGAGGTTGACGTCCGTTGGCGGTGCCAGGCCTGTTGGAGTACTCGGGCGCAGGCTGGCCGTAGCCGCCGTAAGGTTGGGGGACGCTGTTGTTGTGGTGGTGGTGAAGGTGCGGAGGGGTCTGGAGGACGTCAATCTCGACCTCCTCCTCGTATCCGTGGTTCTTCTTCATTTTGGACGACGAGGTGAGAGTGAGCGTGGTGAGATGGGTGAGCGAATGTGTGGAAGGGCTAGAGAAGGTGAAAGCTGGGGAGAGCTATTCCAACGTTCTTCCCAACTCCCCCGGTAGTAGAGCGAGTAGCGAGCGATGACTTGGTGACCAGTGATGATTGGGCAGCGAGCGTTAGGACCCGGCACTGGTGAGACCTGATGGTGAGAGGTAGCAGGAGGATGACGGAGAGCGAGAGACGTGTGAGCGGAGGAAGTAGATGTACAATGTGAAGCGGCAGGCTGGGCGGGACCCGAAAGAATGGAGGGTTTAGCAGCAGGCGTACGCAAACACACAAAGGCAAACGAGTGCACCTAGATGGCGGGGGAGAAATGCCAAATGCCAGGAGGATGGTTGGATGTGCGAAGGGGAGGGCAGGAGGAGGAGGGCAAGAATGCGTGAAAACCGAAAAGGCTCAGCTATGAGGGAATCCGGCCTTGATACGAGACTTGGGGGGTGTAGAGTAAGGGAGGCTGTCTAAGAGATCTGATCTGAAAGGGGCCCATAGAAGGGGGGTGTGGATGGCAGAGACCCTCTCGGTGAATCGCGATTCGGCAGCTCATAGCTCTGAGCCGTTCGTTCTGGAGGGGGGATGAGGTCAAACCGGTGTCCGGACTATGCCCAAGGCGGTCTACTGCGAGGTACCAGCTCGGCAGCAAAGTGGGATCCCAGGCCCCCGAAATGCAGGAAAAAGCTGGAACGAGCCTCGTTGGTGGTCCT